AGAATCTAAACGGTTATTCCATGATACCATAAACACTCCCTGGTCAGAGCAAAAGTACCAAAAAGAGACTACATGTGTAKTGTTTATAGTGGCAAATACTACAGGTGGCTCCTTGATGCTTACTTCACAAACTCGCTCTACATTCTGCTATATAGCTGTATAGAGTATTTTGTTTTAATACTGACCAAGAGCACCGAAGACTCAAGTTATCAGTGACGGATTTCAGAATACCAATCGTTTATCTGTATTACATTGAGCTACAGCGAAGTCAACTTTTAAAACAGACGATCGCAAAGGCTCCTGGGTGTAAGAGGATCTTTAACATTTTCCATGTAAAGAACAGGAAACRGTGTTACATTGTAGAAAGGACTCCTAAAAAATTAGTGCTATTGACGATTAGTTATCATCACTGCCGCATAAACAAGCTATTGCACCCAGAGCAATATAGATAGCAGCAATCACAGCTATGAAAGCAACGAAGGCCACGATACCAATGAGGTACAATAGGATTAGTAAAAGGATAATACCAGCTCCTGCAAGAAGAAAACATTTCTGATTCAGTTATTTTCTTTCWGTTTTAGCTTGCAATACATCTTTTGCCTTATATTGGTTTAAGCCAAGTCAAGCCTGATCAGTAAAACTAGAAAGAGAAAGATGGCCAATCCCTTACAAAAGTTGGTAGATATRCTCGACTGACGGATTGATAAATGACTCTAAAAGGTACGCATAAATTAATTCAGGTATCGAAAATTTGGACGAACGTGTAATACCTGGGGCTTCATAAAGCTTTTTCAGAAAACTCTGAATACCGTGATACGTAGTACATTCCAATATCGCAATGTATTGTTGCTKYAACTTTAAGCCCGCCGCACACGATAGGAAAGTACGTAAACGAAATACCACACGAGTCGCAGCGTTTGCGCACCATTTTTGCTTTTTACGATAACCAAAAACGCTAATCAAAGCGGCTAACTTGGCACTTCGCTTGCGTATTAACCAGGCGCGTAGCGCCCTTTACGCATATACGCACGTAACGTGCGTACTAGTGGCAAGGAAATATTAAAATATTCACAAATATTACTGAAAAATTCACATAACATTAATCCCTATTATATGCCCTCGATGTCTCTCAAAACGCTGGAAATCGCATTTTCAATAGTTAATATTTAAACATTTCATGGGGAAAGTCCAGACTCCCTTAAAAACTCCCGCCTTTGGTGGTCGTTAGAACCCCAGATCCAAAATATGTGTCGCGGTCCCTGACATGTGCGTACTAGGCAAAACGTCCACGCTACGCTCCTGTTAGCTATCGTTTCGTTGCAGAGGGCTTGATAAAATGACAATTGCAATGCTTTTTTTTTCATCTACGAATTAGTATTTTTTTAAGTTGGAGAATCATCAGAAAATTCATATTTTATTATCTATTACATTGTATAAGAGTGATGTTACCTTTGCCAACGAAGCTGTACCATTTGAAGTTATCATCACACTCACAGCAGCCATAGTCACAGCAGGGTTTTGGCTCGGGAGGACTTGAAATGTTGAATATATAGTTGAGGATTAAACAATATATATTGTGTCATTACATTACATAAAAGTACATTGCATTACATTACACTACACTGCATTGAACTACACAACACCACTTTACATTACACTACACTACACAGCACTACGTTTATTACATTGCGTTTAGCGTCAGAACTAGCATGTTGCGTAGTTGCGTACATGCGTCGAACGCTCGACTTACCTTTTCAARGTTACGTAAAACGGTTACATTACGTTATGAATAGAGTCACAAACATTGATGTTTTACAGTGTTTGCATTATATTGTATTGTTGTTTTATTAACCTTTATCTCACGATTCTATATAATGCTACTATTGATCTCTCTTTATACTAACCTATCTGTTATTGCTGGAAGCATTGCAGGTCTTGGCTGCTGCTGTTGCTGTGCTGCTAAAGTTGTTGCTTCGAGCGCAACGAACCTTAACATAAAAGAATAAACATATTATATTGATTATTAGGACCRTTTCTTCTTAACACCACATGTTCGATTTAGCAGATACTTTGTTTCATACAGGCACACGTGAACCGTTTAAAACGAGCCTTTCCTACTATTTGAATGATTTGTGACATGATGTGTCACGTATAAATCCCGATTATTTTGTCGAGCAAAATAGTTCTGCATGAACTGTTTGGGGGTCAGTTTTATGYTTTGATAAAAGTTTAAACTCATTTGAAATATCATTTCTTACACTGAATGATAACTTTTCCGAACTGTAGAGTTTAGATTACATTTTATAGACTATTTGGCTCTTGATTGAAGACGCGTTATCCCGTTAACGGCGAACTTCCTTGTAAGGTCTTATATACTTTATGCATAGCAATCAACGCTGATAGTTTCACTATTATAACTTACCCTTCATTTGTTGCAATGATCTCAGTTCGTTTAGTATATTCTAAACCATCGGCAATTACTTTTTGCTCTCGTACAGCRTACATAGTWTAGGCTTCTAATGATTGTTACTCACAGTTTTACCAAGGCGGAAGTAAAACGCATTTAAAYTATTCAAACACCTATTGASCTGCTTCCACGAAATTGGTTTCGGTACTGGTTTTGTTTGTTCGTTTTGTTTTGCATAAATTTATACATATCATGGGATGTTTTAGCTGTGCACTTAAAGASAAATCAAATAAATGTTTTTGTGCGTGTATATTTATTTTATTTTTGATAATTCAATATTCTTTTGCAGTCATTATACTCATGAACGTTCACTTATACAGTTCAGTAGTCTCTTAAAATCCATCCATTGTGTTCTTAATAGTTTTTAGTTCAATCATGGAATATTAATTAATTTTTTTATTAGACATCTTAGATAAGTTAATGCCTTTTTCAGGCTTGGACTATTGATAATTTTAAGTTTTAACTCTACTCAACTAGACTATTCAGAGAGTAATTGGATAATATGTRAATTTTTAGTGACTGGTTAATGCTGATAAACAAACTAGCTCTACATTCTGCTATATAGAGTTCTTGTTTTAATGCTGACCAACAGCACCAAGGACTCAAGTTATCAGTGACGGATTCYACTATAGACACAATCATTTAGGTCAGCGGYTTTCTTAAATGTCTCCGATTTTTAGGTCAGCGGTAAAGCGGGTGTCTACGGGTAACCCTACTTCACACAAATCATTGCTTAAGACAGGTGATAGATACATAATAAATAAAGGAAATTGTACCAGATTTGTGCCCAGGTTTCCTCGTCTTATTTAAGAAGTGATTGATGGGAAGGATTTAGCGCGGTCGTGTTGCATCAGGGGAAAGGCTGTACTTTCAACAGCTCGCGCTGCTCCTATTTTACTGGATCTATTAGAGCATGTGTTCGGTTTAGCTTTTTGTTAATCTTCGAATTCTTGAATATTTTAAGAATGGTRTGCTGATGAAGAAAGATGCATGGGAAAGAAACAGATTCTGAGACTTCGATGAAAATTTAATTCCGAGGAACAACGTATTTGTTTCAAAGATCAAGTTATTGTTAATATTATTTTAAATGATGTTTATAAATTCTGGAATTTGCCATTGATATTTTTATGTATTTATTGCTATTAATTTGTATCCATTAACCTTACAAGAAAGCCAATATGCCTGCTTCATTACATTGAAACCATTTGTTCAAAAGAGCGTTGAATTTACTAGTCATGTCACAAGTTCATTGTTTACAAGGTGCAGACATTTTTATAGTTCACAATATTAAGGGGTTAATTTCTATATTTATATCTATTAATATCCCCATAATTTATTTTGTTTCAAATAATTGATTTTAGTATCCGTTGAAATAATCGTGTGACAATCAATTGGATTATATGAATATAAATTTCGAGATTAAACTGAAATACTCTAATAAAATTTCATAAATGAATAGGATTAGTTGATAAAATAGTTGTTATCAAAGCAGCGGGAAAAGGCTATTTATTTCAGATTATTTTTAAAATTGTCGACCAAACCACACCCATAATTCCTCACGGGCACTCTTTGATTTTTAATAGTCTTTCTAAGAATTCGACTTCATTCACTTTGAGGGATCAACCCAATCTCATAATCTGTTTATTTATATTTTTTTTAAAGAAATGAAGAAATATAAGATTAAGGTATTTGAAAAMATTTTTTATCGAAGAGTTAGTTTCGCTTCGTTTCATCACCATCAAAGTCAACAACGGTCACATGGTGAAAGAATATCTAATCGTCCATCATTTACTAAATAAATATCTATTCGAGCGTTCATCTGTCTTGATTGATCACATTACGTCATTGCATCGTGAAATCTCCACGAGTTAACCCACCCTAAATAAAATCGYATTAGAAATTTTCTTAGTTTTGACTAGAATTGGACCAATTTCTGTTACAATAGAKGTGGTTTTATGGTATTTTAGTAAAAAACGCGTCAAAAGAATAGCAAATTAGTCCGTATGGGTGGCTTGTAGGCACGGGTCAAGGGTTTTTGAAGTATACCTGTAGTAAGTACACAGTGGAACCAGAGTTGAACAATGCGACACCTTGTGAGGTCAACTTGACGTCGAATGATCTACGTGTTACTAATTCATATGTCATAGATCTGGCATCCATTCAGTGAAAGAATCATCAACCAACACTCACCTGTGTTAGTCAGTTGTATGCCCCAAAGGTAGCTTCTTGTTATCGAATACTAGCCGGCTAAAGATAAACAAAATGAGAGCTACCACAATCTGGGTAGTCTTTACACTCTTCATTGTAATCTACCAAGCTTCGGCTCTTCCTCTCGCTTCTCATAAACAAGAAGCTGAAGAAGTAAAAACCCCCGAGGTTCAAAAACAGGAAGACAAAGAAGTAAAAGAACAAGATAAGGAACAAGATGATGACGATAAGAAGGAAGCCGATCAGGAATCCGATGATAGCGAAAGCGACGCATCTGGGGACGACGAAGACCAAGAAAACGAAGATGTAGATTCAGACAACAATGATGAAGATGGAAGCGCTAGTGCTGACAAACCTACAAACGACGATGATTCTAAAGAGAGAAACCAAAGATCAGCTGAAGAATCAGGTGAAGCACCAACCAAAGCACTCGCCACAAAAAAGAAGACAAATGCAGGTAAACTTCCTTTCATTTTTCACCCATGTACTCATTCATTCTCTCTTTATCTATTTCCTAATATATTATCTTTAAAAAGCTAAAATTAAAATAGTAAAAAAAGACTTCTTTATAACACTTAAGATAATTTTTTTCGGTTGCAATTATGTAATAATTTTAATTAAATTATGGTAATATGTATAAAATAGTACGTTTTTACTGATATTTGTAATTATCTTTTGAATCATATTCTCCCAAACACCGCAACTTAAACTTTCTACCAATATATTTTGTCTTTCAACTCTTTGGCTTTCATCGTTTTGGGAGGGACTGTTGGGAAGGGAGTTCTTTCCTTTCTCACAGAATTAACAACAATTCATTCTTATATTTATTTCTGTACCTATTAACTTGATTTGATCGACTATCAATATATCTTGTATTTCATATTATTGTGTCTAGACAATAGATTGTTTTGTAAATGCTGAACTTCTCAAAATTGGCCAGAATGAAAACATAATTTACATAATACGGCGATTCAAAAATTGCCATCAATACACTATCGAAATTTCTAGAATTATCTTTTGATCTTATTATTATTTCCTGGAATGCACCCTTTACAAAATTATCTTATATTTCTAGAAATTTAACAGTTTAATTTCCCACTTTTTTATCGGAGAGCTAGAAATCCTCTAATAGTTTGGCTATTTTCCTTCCTTTTCCTTATTTTCTTCACATAACCAAATCATCAATAATAAAATAGTTTAGTCGCTATGATTAACCTTGAAATTCCAGGATAATATCTCTTAATACTTAATATAGTAACTGAAGAAATGCATTGAGGGCACGCTTCTTTTTTTATCACTATTTCTAATAAGTAACTTTGAATATAAATAGAAATATTTGTGTTGTATTTATAAACCTTATCAAACATGGAAACGACAATTTTACCTGTTCGTGATTGCCCAACTGTAAAATACTTATCAAATATTCAAAGGGTCGTAAAATTCTGATATCTTTAAGCAGGTAGTTATAATCGTGGGATTTTCTTAGTTAACTCGTGGATTCTCATCCATTTTGGCCTGCTTCGCTTCGTACTTTGCGCAAACTTTAGATTCAAATTCAATTCAGTCAATCTATTTAGTCTTGTATTAGTATAGGTATTCGTGTTAGTATTATAAGTATTATGYAATTAAAAAGTATTATTCAAGAAAAAAATGTTTTTGTTATAACTAATCGATCAGTATCTAAACTTAAAAAACTCATACATAATTAATGAGCTACTAGGCCAATAGAATGAGCCTATTTGGTCACATGCATGGACCTTTATATCTGATAAAACACTCCTTATTAGTATTCTTTATATAAAGAATACTAATAAGGGTGACCTTTATCAGATATAAAGGTCCATGACCCTAGCAAAGGTCTCAGGTTTGAAACCTGATCATTGACCAATGCAGGATGTCAACCGATTTCAGTAAACAGCCAAGAGCGCTTCTATTTTACTTGATGCGTATTCAATGTGGGATGACAAGAGTGCTTTGTAAAGTGATTCGCGCATGATCAGTTTGCCCCATTTATTTCTGAACATATTTGTACGGCAATTTCTCCAAGAATTTTTACGGATTTGAGTTTCAAATTAGTGTTGGAGTTTTTTAAGCCGTTTAAAACACTCGAGATCGTGTTTTAAACTATACATAGCTCATTGAATTAGATAAAAAAATTCTTAATTAATACTATAACACGCATGAATTGGAAACTTACTTAATTTAGCAAGTAGTTTACATCTAATTACAAAAACATACTTTAATCAGTTAATAATACTTCAATAAATTACATTAAATCGAAACGCATGTTGTGCACTTCCGATTCTCAAACGTACACTCCTTTGTATCCAATCCCTATTAGACGCTTTCTTGGTTTAAAAGCGCTCAGTTACTCGTTTCTAAAATAAAAAGAGCCTTTTTTCAAATGTCTTTTTGAAAATTTGGCGCTTGTACTATAAGAAAGAATTCAGTTTTACGACTTTTGCGTTTGGGAATCCGTAGTGCTCTTCGTAGTATAAGACAATAAATTAATGATTAATTTTAATTAATAACTTTAATTGCATGTTTGCATGACCATGACCTAATTGCATGCAGTTTCTAAGAGATGTGGATTCGGAGGATTCGGTGGTTTTGGAGGATTCGATGGTTTCGGCCTTGGCTGCGGTGGAGGCTGTGGCGGATGCGGTGGCTGCGGCGGCTGCCAATGGGGTGAACCAGGAGAAGGCTGCTGCTGCTCCAACTGCTGTGGTGGTTT